CAATTCTACCACCAGGTGGAGAAAAAACACAAGTAGTATCTATTATCAAAACTAGTACAAGGTCCCAAGTACTTTACCTAGATTTCCACCAGGTGTCAACCAAGAGGGGAGAAAAGACAAGATTGTTTTTACCACTTAAATATACAAATTCATAATTTTAAGCATAGCGATCTAAACTCTGAAATACATGGTCTGCTCGATAATTGTCTAAATAGTTTGCATATTTATACTGTATATATTGCTGTTGAGTGCAACTAAAATCCAATTCCCCAAAATTTACTTTATTCTGAAATAAAGAAAACAGCAAGACCTGTAAGTTTAGCTTACTGTGACTCATAGGCTCAAGCTATCCAAATACACCACGCAAAAGAATCTAAAATGTTTAGATACTGACAGCCAAAAATCTTCCAAGGTATTTTTGGTCATATAGATAGATTATAGATATAGATATAGCACCAAATTCATATTTTTTCTCTCTGTAAGGCAGTTCTGTTGATTGCTAATAATCTAGAGGAATTTATGCTGTTATGCTGTTAATCCCAGGGTGATGTTATGAAAGCACTGCTATTTTTTACCATTCACAATAAAAAGAGAAACGTACCTATATTTAAGATGTACCATGAGAATTACTACGTTAAATGGTCCAAGGCTTTCCGCTGAAAAAGCTTCACACAGCCAATCCCTATGTATATACCAAATCATGCTTTTTAAAAAACTATTTTACGCGCTTCACTAATTTCTAACAAAGATTTTCCGATCCTGTTGCAAACAGTGTGTCAGCGAAACCACTATGTCATATGCCTTTTATAAGGTGGTGCTTTTTTAGGCCGAACTCTATTCTTATTCCTCAGGACGCAGGAGTTGTAATCATGTCTTACTCTGCAAATCTAGTCGGAGGTGGTATCTTAAAAAGGACTTTTTCTTCCTTCGAGGAAGTGGTCAAGCTTCCCCCCAGCCCTCACCCGTGTCATCCTGGAAACAACTTGGTTGTTTTTCTATGCTAATTAAACGATGGAAGAGAAAGAAGTTCAGCCTACTGATTACATTATATTTGCTTCTCTACCTCACTCTTCAAAGGATTCTTTAAGGTTCCTTTGACCTCGACTGAGTTCATTTACACCCTGCCTCCCAAGTACTGTTAAAAAAAAAAAAAAAAAAAATCCAAGGCAAGAATACTATGAACAATACTTCTTGTCCGATTTTAATACGTTTTCTTTTAAAATTCGTTAGATTGAGCCGGGCGTGGTGGCTCACGCCTGTAATCCCAGCACTTTGGGAGGCTGAGGTGGGTGGATCACCTGAGGTCAGGAGTTCGAGACCAGCCTGACCAATATGGTGAAACCCCATCTTTAAAAAAAATAAAAAATAAAAAAAAATAAAAAATAAAAATTCGTTAGATTGTGCTCAACAATCGGCCGCTTGCCCAACCGGTTTCTCCCTTCCCCCATCTCTCTTCACACATCACTTCTTCCTCCTCCCATCCAGGCAGTTGGCAAAACCCTACAGTGCCGGTAATGCACGCTTCGGGCTGGTCACTGCAGTTTATCCTTACTTGCCTTTACAAACAACTCCCCACCCAGCCCTTCTCCCCTCGCGCCCTGTTCTGCCATTATCTTTCTAGCAGAGTTGCTCGGTAAGGGGCTCCAGATAGCACGTCGAGGGTTTACGGTAGCCTGCCTACCAATAAGAGCCCAGAATGGAAAGAAGTCAGGTTCAGCCTGCCGGCAGCTCCACTATCTCCTTCCCCTAGCTCTACACCTACTGTACCCGGGAGCGAGCGAGCAAGGGAGCGAGCAAAGGAGCGAGAAAGGGAGCGAGCAAGGGAGCGAGCGCGGCGCGGCGCGGGAGGGGGCGCGCAGGGAGGGCGGACAGCAGCCGTGGCCTGCGCCTGCGCACTGGGGTTGTTTTTCACAAAGCTGCTCTTAAAGTGAGCTGGCAGCCTTTAGCCGCCCGTCTTTGTAAGGAGACCGCTGAGACGAGCAGGAGCGCGGAGCAGCAGCGTCTGCTGCCCTGACTTTTTAAGAAATCTCAATGAACTATTTGTAGAGAATCACTGATTCGGCCTGCAAGCATTTTGCACGGCAAAAATATCGATCAGTGTTAAGTGAAGATCACATTTTATATGTGATCTTGACTTTTTTGTCTTACATTATATTTTTATAGATTTTGTTATAAACATGGTGCTGGGAAAGGTGAAGAGTTTGACAATAAGCTTTGACTGTCTTAATGACAGCAATGTCCCTGTGTATTCTAGTGGGGATACCGTCTCAGGAAGGGTAAATTTAGAAGTTACTGGGGAAATCAGAGTAAAATCTCTTAAAATTCATGCAAGAGGGCATGCGAAAGTACGCTGGACTGAATCTCGAAACGCCGGCTCCAATACTGCCTATACACAGAATTACACTGAAGAAGTAGAATATTTCAACCATAAAGACATCTTAATTGGGCACGAAAGAGGTAAGTTTTTCTATTATTGAGAAGTCACTGCACTCATTTTCTTTGGAAACGTACCTTTTCAGTTTTCTGAATTAACGCGATTTTACTCCGAGCATATCTAAGCAGTTTGATAAAGGTTAGCAAACTTGGAAGGTTTGGCTTCTCCTTGACGTTCATCGTGTGTTAAGCCGTAATGCATGCAGGCATCTGCAAAGTGACTGCAAACTGCACTTATTCAACTACCTCTATACCCGGCTTGGTTTGTGCCACACGCACTTGTAGTCCATTTGCACCTTATAAATTCTGCTTGAATCCAATTCAATCGTTTTACTAATGTATTTTCAAATGAATTGCTAAAAGCTGCAGTTTTAGATTTTTGCAACCTAAGACTTAAAAACTGAACTTCGATCAAGAAATGTAATAACATTTTTAAGAGGCTTAATCGGGTGTGTTTCACGTTTAATATTGGAATGCAAAGACTTAAGAATTGATCACCGTTCTTTCATAAAAGGTTTCTGTGGCTTCTTTTGACATATGGTATCAACACCCCACGTGTTTTTTTATTCTTTCCCATTCTTTTAAAAATTTACACCCAGCATTCCTTATTTTAAAGGGTACTGTCTGTCATTATTATAGGTATCGAGTCAGTTTTAGAAGTCATTTAGGATCGGTAATTCTCTTTTCCGAGCATCATGTCTAACTTTGGAACATGCATTCAATGAAACCCATGCCAGTCAAATGGAATTGAAAAGTATAGGACGTACTGGATTTGATTTTTGGTTAGAAGAGGGAGATACAGGGTTGTCAAAGGGAGAAGAGGTCCTGAGATTTCCAATCTATTGTTTAAATGGTTACATTGTGGAAATATAGGCGACTCTAGGCTTGTTTTTCTAAGTTTCCACCCTTTGTTAGAAGCGGTTCAATCCTGTTTCGGACCAGTTCTGGGGGGTGGTGAGGAGGGGCGCTTGTTCTGCTCTCAGCAGATTGGTTACACGCGTCAGGTGGTGGCGATGACTTAATTCCTAGCCCATGAAGAATATAATGTTAAAACTGGTTATGTAATTTTTGTGCCTCTCCTTTTTAATGCAGTATGTAATTCAGATGTTGGCGATTTTTCAGAAAAAAACAGAGGCATATTTCACCCTTTTTTATATTAAAAACGTACATTCTGGAGAAGTGCTGATGACTGAACTACGGCAAGTGAGAAATGAAGGATGCTTTGAGTGACACTATTAATGCATTATTTTTGAAACTATTAAGGTGATCTCAGTTCTTTAGTAGGGTAGGGTTTTCGTAGACACAGGTTCTTGGTATCCTGAAATAATCTCTCCAAGCGTTAACACTGATAGGAGATGCAAATGCCTAACGACAGTCTTGGTATTTGTTGAAAACTAGATACATGACTTAGTGTTTGTACCTTTCTGAATGTGCAGCTTTTTATGAAATGGGTGAAAAGAAACAGGTTTTTCTTCAAGGAGTTGAGACTTGCAATGGGGGGAAAGTAGAACGAGTTGTGGGGACAAATATAATTTCATTAGTAGCACTATGATTTCCTGGTAAAGAAAACTAAGTGCCCTGCCACCCCCTGCAAAATGCTCCCCAAAGCCTGCTACGCGTAGACTAGATCAGTCTGGAATAGTTTCAATGACTTGAAACTGGGAGCTCTCAAACTAGCCTGGTAACTGAGACCCCGCCCCGGGCGCCCGGGATAGGCGAAGCCAGGTTTGTTAGCCTGTTGCTAAGGCGATGGCAGGCGCTGATTGGATTGGGCGCGGGCGGGTGGGGCGAGTGGGCTCGCGCCGCGGCTGGGGCGAGGCTAGGAAACCGGCGTGCGCCGGTAAAGGTCCCTCCAGAGCGACCCCCACTCCCGTACTCACGTTTGTTCCCGGGCTTCTGGAGGCGCCCGGCCCTTGTCACATCACGTTCTGTCGCCCCTCTTTTGGGCCTGCTAAGGGCCATCGAAAAGAAACGACTTCAGGATTTAACTGAGTAGAGGGCAGACGCTCCTGCCGGCCTTACAGGTGCCAGATGGCTCTGGACGCAACTTTTTAGCAGAAAATCCTTTTTAGATGGGAGTTGGACGCGAAGGGTTGGCAGGACCCCTTTAGCTATCTTCTGGGTGGGGGATGTTGGGTGACTCCTGTGAACGTTTGTTTTCCCCTTAGCTGAAACAAAGCGTGTTGCCCGACCTCTCCAGTCGCCAGACTGGCTACCTTGATTCGACCTGAGGGGAGAGAGCAAAGGTTGGCCCGGGGGAGAAAGAAAGTGATTCCAATATCGAAATCTGGGTGGGGGCCTCGACGGGCATCCCCTGCCCCCTCCCCCATTGTTTCCCGTAGCCTACCGGCCCCCGCCTCCCCTCTGCCGCCCCAGTTTCCCCCGCAGCAACTGTAAAGGTGTCAGAGTGGCCCGAGCCAGATCGAACCGGTCGCCGGCTGGGGCGTGTAAAGCGGAAGCGCAGCGACTCTGTCGCCCCGCCTCCCCGTCCAGCAGGTTAGGCTGCGCGGGCACGGGCGCGAGCGCCGCGCGACGTATGCCGTATGTATAGCGGGGCGCGCGGGCGGCGGCGGCGCGCGGGCGGGCCGGCTGGGATCTGCTCGCGCCGGTTTAGGCCGGTCCTCTCCTGCTCCGGTCTAGTTCTTGATTGACAGTCGGGCACTTGTTTACCACAGCGCGGCCGCCGCCGCTCGCCTCAATGAGACTGCTGAGCTGGCACAAAAAAGGGAGCGAGGAGGGAAGAAAGGGAGACGAAGGCAAACTTTGGGCGCCTTGGACAGGAACGAATTTAAATGGCCCCCAGTTCACCAGCTAGTTTTTGGTTCTGAAATCCATTCAGGGGATATGCACAGGGGGTGAAGAAAATTGTATGGAGGCATAAGCGAATCACCATGATTTTTAAATAAAAGTATCGACGTATACATGCCTTTTTCCTCTTTTTCTCGTTTAATATCAGGGAAGCATCACATTTTTTGTGTGTATTCAGTACTTTCCTGAAGGAAAGTTAAATAATGTGCCAGTTTTTCCCCTACTCTGGGGGCTAATCGCAAAGGTTTCTACACCGAGAATACTAGAAGATATTTGTGTAATTATTTATCTAGTCAGAACGCTAAATAAGCATTTTAATGATCTAGAACCCCCTCCCGTATTTTCGATTATATTTCTTTATTTTCATGCTGCTTCAAAAATTAATTTGACCTCATCCCTTTTTCATAGCAACTGGAAACTCTTAGTAATTAGACATCATTTCTTCAAGGATGAGGGACAATACTGTTTCCTTATAAGCAGGTACCTCGTAAATGCTGTTGTTTTAATTATCTAAGGTATGGTTTATGCAAGTTTTAGTTGTTGCTAGGACCAACTGAGTGTTGTGATCATTTTAGGACAATAAATATTTTTAGCTATGAAACACATTAAAATCAATGTGTGTGTGGTTTTTTTTCTTCATCTATTTGACAGTTTTCCAGTGGTTTTGGAGTATCTATTCTATTCATATTTTTGGTATTCCCCCTAAACTGACATATTTTAAAAGGTTTGCATGAACAGTTTTTATTTTATACATTATAGTCTTAATGTGATAAATTGAAGCGAACAACTGGAGACAAAGGTAACATTATGTTACTATGATGTGAGACCTGAGCCTTTTGTTGAGTATATATGCTATTTTATAAACAAATGCTTTATAGCTTGGGTCATTTTCCATTTAAAAACAAAAAAACCGTGAGTATTTATTATTCCCATTTTGCAGATAAGGTAGCTGAAGACGGAATTTTTATTTTTGGTAGAGGAAATGAATTTAGAATTAGAACTCAGATCTCTCAGATTCCAAAGCTTGTTTTGTGGTCTTAATTATTATATAAACATCTTTAAAGTTATGCCACTCTGCAAAGTATGTAAATGTTTAATAACAAATTCTTTGTTTAATTTTTATGTTTATTTTAGATGATGATAATTCCGAAGAAGGCTTCCACACTATTCATTCAGGAAGGCATGAATATGCATTCAGCTTCGAGCTTCCACAGACGTAAGTATTATAAATAATAGACATTTTTATAGATACTCATGATCAGAACATTACTTTATTCTAAATTTAAATATTTTTAGTTTAAAAAAAAAAAAAAAACCCTTTCATTACTGAAACTTGCTAGAGGAAAACAATATATTAAACATAAGAAGCTATTTTTTAATTTAGTGTGGCAAAATTACAGAACGCAAGCTCAATGTACAGTTTTTTAATCCCAGAGTTTACAAGGTTTTTAAAATAGGAATAGTGTTGCCTTTAACATGAGTGAATTGGAAGGTGCTAGTCAAATAATAATCACTTTATACTTAGTTTATTGTCAATTATCATTATGAGAAAAGGTATACCCTACCAAGTCTTAGTAGCTTCAATTTATAAAAAATCCTGTGTTCTACGTTTTCTGCTACTACTAACCAGTAGCAGTAAGTTTTGAAAATAAAAATAATTCGAAATGTTGTTTTTCTGATGTGAACTTAATAGCTTCTGTACCAAGAGCTATTGGGAAGGTCACACAAGAGATACTGTGATCCAGGCTTAGAAGGAAACATACATCAAGGATACATTAATATAAAACTTGGAATCTAGACTCTAGTAAGAAAGGAAGAAGGAAAGTGCTGTATTCTTAAAGAAATGACATTGTTGGGAGAGTTTATACAAACTTAAAAAAAAAAAAAATGCCTTTTACCAATATTAAAACCTGCAAAATGGCCCTTGTGCTGATTATTCTGGAGGATACACAGATTACATAAGATTTTGTCAGGTGTCAAATGTACATAATTCTACATTTGTTTTGTTCATTCTAATGCATGAGATGTTATATATTGAAAGAAGTCATAAAGGGTATTTTTCAGAAAATTCTCTTTACTATGTTATTTGAGAATTTTATTTTGAATATAATGCCCTCATCTAATTTCTGAGAAAAATATTAGTCTGTAGATAGAATAAGGCTAATATGGGGCCTGAGTATTTTTAGGACCATTTAATGTTAAAGTTCTATAGTAAACCAAAGTTATTTAACATAAATTTTGGAAAACTATTAGCATAAACTTTAAGATTTTATTTCTCTGCTATACAAGCTAATGTGGGAGTCTAAAATGCAAAAAAAATTTCTGAAGACACCA